TGCTTCACACATCAAGACGTGAATTAACTGAAGCTAGTAACTGGCAAGGAAAACTACCAGCAAATAAACATGATTGTTAATATTTACATAGGAAAATCTTCCTGGCTGTTAGTAGAAGATTAATCAGAACAACATTTAAATGCCACCATCTTCCAGTAAGCAGAAACTGACCGATTAACCTGAGGAGACAAAACCCAGCCAGAACTTACCGCTGTCCTCTTCGCCCAGGTGCCTCCTGCTCCCCTGGCCAGCTACCCCACCGCCACGGCAGTCAGGGGAGATGGGAAAACTTCAGTTTTGTTAAAATTGCTGCAGGGCAGTGGAGCTGATGGTCTGTGATGGGGGAGAGCAGGGGGGTGAGGCAGCGTCCTGCTCTGAGGGGAGTGGAGCCCTGAGGGCCAGGCCCAGGCCAGGCATGAGGCACCGCCTCCCCCAGCAGGCCCCATGGAAAGTTCCAGCTCCTCAGAGATCCCCTGGTCCAACCTCCTGTTAAACACCAGCAGAGCCTTATCCATAATGAGGGTATCCAGGGCCCAGTTAAACCAAATATTAAGCACTTCTAGTCAGGAAACACTTCTACCACTTCCGTGGGCAACCCAGTCTTACATTGAATTGCTCTAATAAGTTTGGTTTTGCCTAATTTCTCCTGAAGCAACCCGTCCCTTGCCTCTTGTCCTGTCACCACACATCCTTGTGAACATGGTGTCTGTAGAGAAGACACATAATTTCTATATGCCAGAAGGCAGAGCGGATCATCCCTGAGCCTTCAAAGAAAATACTAATTTCTCTTCCAGTGATGAAATAAGTAACATTGAGAGTTGAGTAAAAAGAGAAGAAACCAACAATATAAAAGGAAAAAAAATGTAATAAACAGCACCCTTTTCAGAAAAAACATTGAATAGAATACATGTGTATCCCTGAAAACAGAATGCAATGTTTGCAATCTGTATAAATACAACGTCCATTTTAAAGAATGTTTTACATAACAGAGAAGCTCCCCAAATGGCCAATTAACAGTGCTTACATTACCCACAAAGCGCCGCCACCACCACAGCACGATCAGAGTCGAGATGAAGGCTACAGATGTACTCAAGTTTTAGGCTAAGACTACCAAGCCTCTCACTTATCTGGAATGATTACAAAGTCCTGTAGTGAGAACCTAATTTATGTTTCATAGAAAACCAACACACACACACACAAACAGCAACAAAACAAGAACGTTGCTCCCTGTCAGCCATTTTATGCAGAATCTAGAACAAGCTTCTACATCCATGCCACAGTTTCAAAGAGGAACATATTCTGACAGAAAACCCGGCCATTATCCGCTTAGTTTGCTTGCACTTCCTCATCACAGACCAGGTTTGGAAAGCATGATCCACATTCCTCTTGAATGAAACTGAACTGTAACAGGAACTCTATGAGCTCACCAGACTGTTCTCAGACTAGAGGTAGTCCAAATTAAAAGTGCCAAGGCGTGGCAGTTTTAATGAGCATATTTATACTCATAGTGATATGAGTGTCTACAGATCTTTTCCTATCGTTGCATACTGTTTAGAATTTCCATATCTATTTTAGTTAGACAAATTTAACACTTCAAATACTTGATCTGGAGTAAATAATTTTCTTTTCGCACACTATTTTGTGAGCATAACAGTTAAAAAGGCATCTATGGAGAATTATAGATAAATCTTATTAACTCTCCATGACACAATGACATTAGGGTTTGCTTTTTATCCCACAACTTCACTAAATCAGATTTATTATTCTGTTGAAAGACACACACACTATTTCATATAATTGAAGTTAAGAGGTTTAACAGGAAGGTAAAAGTTAATAGCACAGCATTTCTCCTACAGCGTACCAGGCATCCATTTAGAAGCCTAAGTCAATAGCAATTTTTCACACTCTCCAGCAGGAAGACTGAATTTTTGCCTTCTAGGCATATATATATGACATGATGTTTGGACTTGCTACCTTCACAGGAAGACAGAGGTTATCAAGCACTAGTGTCATTGGGAAGAAGCAATGAATTCCTAGAAACGTTAAAGATAGAAAATAATCCAACTCAAAATCAATACTTTACAAAATAATTGCAAAATGAATGTGTGCAAACAGCTGTTTTTCCCACACAGGTGTTAACTTTCAGATTCATTTATTTATTTATTTATTAAACTTGGATACCTTCTTTCTTCTTACACGGTGATCAATTTCCAATAGCAGACAAACGGCTTTCATTAGCTACATACTCCAGTAACAAACTATGTCAGTTTACATTTACCCCATGACCTAAATTAGGGTGTTGCATTGTTGGCTAGCTTACCCAAGGAGAAACATGCAGTAGTTAGCTGAATCAGACAACTCTTTCATCAAAATTGTTTCAGTTGCACATTCTAATAAAGGAAATGACATGCAAAAGAAGTTTTTACCATTTTTCAGCATGGAAATTTCAACCTGAAGTTTCCCATATAGACCTATGACATTTCAGTTAATAGAGAAAGCACCTATCACTTTCTGTAACCTCCAGAGCCTAAAAATTCAGCAAAATAAACAAAAAGTTAAGCTCAGCTAAATCATAGTTGCCTGGAGCAACTGTAGCAATATGGCTCTTTTGATGTTCCTGAACCTCCTCACCTTATCATCATTTTACAACACAGCAGAACCTCCATTTCTCTGTCTTGTTGCTAAAAGCTTCAAGGTTATTGCTGGTTTTTAAGGAGTCTTTCAGTCTGCAGACAATGCCATATGCTGCATTGCTAAGTGTGGTATGGAACATTAAGAGCTGCATTAAAGAAAGCCAGACATCTCTGTATTCCAAATATAAACTTTGTCTAATGTTTTATAATCATAAAAAAGTGCTTGACATGGATAGAATATGGTCAATGATAGTTTACAGGGTTAGCAGCATATTACTTAATATGCTTTTGAATTATTCTGCCCCCTACCTCCAGTTAAGCACTGACCATAATTTCCCCCGTTTTTCCATTTTTCTGTAATGTATCTCTTCCCAGATGCACTACCACCTGCAATGGTCATTATATCCCGTTGCAAGAGACAGTGTACACTTAAGGAGCTAAAAATTACAAGATATTTGCCCCAGGGTCCTTCCTATTGTGACTGATAACATTGTATCTGAAGGCATTCATCCCAGAACTAGTAGTATAAACCATGATTCCAGAATATAAAAGAAGAAACATTTAAAAATATGTTGTATGACATGATGCACAAAGAATGACCGGTCTAGTGATGGCAAATTTAGCACCATTTTGACTTGCGGACTCTGCAGAAGGCGAGATTGTGTTTGAAGGTACCTCTGTGACGTTTATGAAAAGAATAAGTCCCTGACATATTCAATGCATTTAGCTTTTTTTTTTTTTTTCTCCCCACAGATTTTGCTGTGCTGAAATTCTCAAAGGCTATTTCTTACTTTTGGGAATGGCAAGAGAGCACAGCTTCCTTTAGTCTGAATCAAACTGTATAAATAAGATTCGTGAGAGCTACAATATTAAATACTGAGATCTCCTTAGCCATAATTTCTTATGTAGCTTTGTTACTACATCGATTGTCTCATGTTGTACGCCCAAATGTCAAACTTGTTCCAGAAAAAGAATCAACATATAAAGACCACTGTACTTCAGTTGTGATGCAATACAAAACTAGCATGTAAAAATTACAGCATGCATCACGAGGGATGCACACTTCTCAGCAGAACAATAACATGAATGTAAATATATGCAAATAAAGACAATAAGTGCATTTAAGTTTTGTATTTCGAAGATCACCTAACTCCTTTGATACCTGGGGGAACGGGAAGCTAAATGAACAGACCAGGTACTGACCAAAGCCAAATAAATCAAAGAGATCAACAAGTAAAATTAATCAAATTCAAGAGAGATTTTTTCATATGATGGAGTGAATCTACAGAACTACTCCATTAGATGAAGTTAAATTAGACTACTGGGAAGGCAATTTAGGGTATTAATCCACTGCACACAGAATTATGCTGCCTGCACAATCAGTTGCGGAAATCTTTCAGTTTAGTAATCTTTCTTTAGGAATCTTTTCTGTCTACGTATTTTCTTGCATCTTTAATCTCATTATTCCCTTTTTAGCAACTTCTCCGCAACCAGACTAATTACTTCCAACATGCATAAAACATAGAGGCTCTTTCATAAAGGTTTTATTACAGAACAAAAAGACCTCCACTCTGCAGTGCAATCTGCAATCTAAGTTTGACACAAGATGCAACAAGTGAATTTAAACAAATTTAGGTAGATTCATGGCTGAAAGTACCTTTGATTCAAAGCGGCTATACATGACGTTCTGGAGTAACTGTTCTTCCACTCTAATGCCTCACTGTTATTCATAGGATCTTCAGCAGTGTTATTTATCATTTAAACCAGTGGAGCATTGCTGAAAGAAACATGCTTTCCTTTGCTTCTTCTTTCATGAAGAAATTGACTCCTACATTTAGAAAGCATCCCATCTTTGAAACTCCGCAGGACATTTTTGCTAACAATTTTCAAAAGCTGGACTTCAGCTGATACCAAGCTATTAAGTCTAAAAATGTCACCAATACAGTGCAGATCTTAAATATTAGGTCAAGTGGAAAGACATCTCAACAACTTAAGATTTTATCAAAAAAAGTCACTAAGCACGAGTTTATGACAGTTTTGTTAGTTTAAAGGTTTGGTTTAACCTTATGAGAAGTTTGTCTTCTCCTTTCATTGAGTGGTGGCTGTCCCAGTTTCTGAAAATATTTTATTTCAGCTTGAACCTTCAAAACCACTGGTAAATTCTGGTCCCATTAACAAAGGCCAGAGTTTATAATTTACCAACTCTTTAACCAAACCTTAAAGCAACTCAAAGATTTTGTTTGCAACTCTGATTTCAGTGACACGTGCAGAAACCTTGTGAAGCAAGTAATGAGTTTTTCTTAATTTAAATGAAAACAAACTACAGCAAAAGAATTTACAGATGCAAATAAAAACCAAGAACCGTGCTACTTTTCTTATAGATTTTATGTACCGCCTCATATTTTTCAGTTTTACATGTGAACTAGTCTCTGCATTGAAGTTTCAAACATCTGAGATTGTTCTTTGCATTAGCATTCTTATAAAAGAAATATAGAAAAAATCTGGAAAGACAAATGAATGCAGTAAATCAGTCTGTGCACAGGCACAGCCTATTGCTGTGTGCTACCCTACCAATGCATTTTGCTTGATTAAATATCATTAGTCTCAAATTTACTCTATGATAGCATCAACACCAGGAGAAGAATGATCTACAGACATCAATGACAGATGAACAATTGACTCCATGTCACTCACTGGATCCTAGTTCCAGCAGGAAACCATCTTCATGGTTGTCAAGTACATGAGCTCCATTTAAGCATTTTCATATTTGAAGCGATCCATTTTCAATATCTGCCTCAGAGTTATCATATCATGTTAACAGATTAAGGTGAAAAGAATGCATAAATAACCAAAGATGGTAAACTGTACAATCACTATTGAAGTACATATCTGTTCAGGAAATAAAAGCAAAGCTGCCACAGTTCTTCAAGACAATTAAGTAACAAATGAACAACTCAGAATATGACATTCAGAGATTCCAGTTTGTGACACATTTTTCCATAGATTAGCTGAACTGTAACCTACTTGGCCAACAGTTTCTTCAGGCAGGGATTTTAATTTTTCATGAACTCATTGCTCTAATAAAGTACTTGGCATTAGTTATGGCTTTTGAATTAAAATGCATTCCTGACATTAAATTTTAAAATCACTAAGCCATTAATTTTGACCAGCTTTTTTTTTTTTCTGTATAGTGTTTTCAAGAATTAGCAACTAAGTGCGTATTTCACCAGCAAAAGAATGAAAGCTGTACTAATAAAACTTATTTTTGTAGGTCCCTGTGGAGAATGGTAATATTTTATACCCTGTATATCAAACAAGAGCCAAAAACAAATTTTCTGTTCTGAACAAGGCTTATCTGACAAATACCACATAGTTGAACTTACAATCAAGGGCAACTTAACACAATCTGCTATCTACATTTTCTTCTACATTCAAAAATAAAAAGGTTTACAGCATTGCAGCACAGTTTTCTAAGTTGTCTATTTCTAGCAATGACTTTAGTGCCTATTTGTGAAACTATCTTGCTACAAAAGTTTCCAGGTAATAACTAAATAGCTGAGCCTATTCAATGGAGGATGCTGATCCGCAATTTATTCAGGTATGCAAGTCCATTTCAAAAAGCAGTTGTCCTACTTTACCTTATGACAAATTCCTGCTTTGTTGCTTTTGTTTAGGATAACATTCAGAAAGTTCAAAGAGCATAAATCATAGGTATTTTAGCTCCTAATATAAAATCATTACTTCAGATACCTCTACTGGCCCCTATAACCTTGCCACCAAAAGAAATAATCACCTGCTGACAGTACAGGAGCCCAAGAACAGACTTCAAAACAGTTTTCATCTTGTTTTATCGTGTTTCATCTCATTCATCTTGTACTTATGAAACAGTGTGGAGTTATGACACTTAAGATATTTAATAGAAACAGCCAATTTGATTTGCATGCTAGTATCATTCTACCATTCAATAAACTACAGTCAGTAAAGTAGGCTCAGTTTTAGTTATACATTTTAATTGAGTACAATTTACACACTTTATACACTTCTAAGCAGTGTCAAATTTGCTCAACAATAAGAATACAGCTCACTAAAACAGATGTCTGATCCTGCAGCTTCTCCAGTTCTTAGTATCAGTTTTCTTTATTACTCTACATTAACTTGTAGATAAATTAAGCGTAACATGTGTCTAAAAATCCAGCTGTGTTGCAAAACGCTGCTGTAAGGCTAAATTTTCAAGTCCAAGTAGTTTCATAATCTATGTGCAGATATTTCTGAAGGCAGCAGGAATGCTATTCTTTGACAACCTAATTAAACTTCCAATAATGTCAGCAGGAATCTGATTGCAGAATGGCTCATTTTATAAACATCACTACGTTTATGACTGACAAAGAGATACATGATCAGAGATGATCAGGTGCCATCTCCTTCACAATATACACTTTACAACTTGTGTTGTAAATCACCTGCAAGTACAAAAAAATGAAGATGTTAAGTGTGTGCTCAATCCATAGAAAGTGGCACAGTTGATAAAAAGATTCCATGGATTTTGCTCCTCTGCCAGTTTCACATTATAACTTCACTGGTTTCTGAGGATTTACTCCCAATATATACAAAAATTTACATTTACATCAGGCCATCTTCTCTGTATAATATTGGACCCAGGATTACACAAGCTTTTAAAATGCAAGTGAAATATAGGGCAGAGAAAATATAACTGGAGCTTGCATGTTTTAAGACCAATACTCTATACCACAAGTGCACATGAAGCATGCTTCTCTTCAAAGTTCGGTTTGTAAATTTGCTGCCCACTGTAGAAGTTTCTTTAAAACTGTAATTTTTTTCTTTAGTACTGTAAAGTACAAAGTCTGAAAAAAAATTACATTTCTAATTGGAACATTTCAGAGTCAAAAAAGCCATACGTTATATCCCTCTATTTAAACAGTAACAAACCCTAAGTTGGCAACTTCCTTATGGTACTTTCTGTGGTGTTGATAGCCAGTTTTTCTAACTATAGCACAGGTTAAACCAAAATGTAGAATGTTTTTAGCTCACTCATATGACAGAGATACTCTTTTAATAAAGCTTAGGTGTTAAGATAAAGTCACTTGGTACTGACCGAAGTGCCCATGCAAATAGCAGAACTTTCGAGCATATTTTAAACAAGCTGTTTTGCTTGCTCTTCTCAGCCACTTTGCAGAATCTGTTCAAAAATCCAGTGACAACTTCTAATTTTGGTGTCATTGTTGTTTGTTTGTTTTTATTTCCATTGAGATAATTGGCTAAATTTAAAGATAGTAATCCTGATACAGCAGGGATGGAAAGATATTATTAAAACACTTTCAGACCTCATAGTCCTCATTTAAATTTAAGACAAATCTTAAAAACCTCTGAAGGAGATGTGCCTTCTGGTTTTATTAAAAATGAAGGTAACATCAAATAAAAAGCAAAACTAAAGTAGAATAGGTAGAACATTTTACTTTTGTCAAACCTTAAATGTAAAGTATATTAAAAAACATGGTTTTGGATTTCAAGAACAGGAATATAAACATGTATTTTCTATCCCAGAAAAAAACCATGCAGGTGTTACAATACTTAATCATTCTCTACATCCACTGGTATGCAACATCAACTTAATGTTATTAAATAGATACACAGATACCATAAATCCATACAAATACCATGGTCTTCTGGCCTCAGTTATACTGTAGCTCAAGCAAATCTGTTCTTTGGTAACTGAAGTAAGTTCATTTTCCACTCTGATGCAGGACTGTTAGGAGACCATATTAGTCACTCATATCAGAAAACGACAACTTCTGCAAACATAATCGGGGCTACTTTCATCACAGGAAAATAATATTAGTGGTGATATTAGAGGTGCAAATGCAATGAAGTTAAAATGATTCCATCCTTGTGGTGGCTGTTTCAGGAAAAAAAAATCCAAACTCTCTTCCTTTCTATTCATTGTTTAATCCTGGTAACATTTAAACTCATATGAAGGTGTTTTGATAGATGGGAATGTACATAGGAACGTTTTCAGTTTAAATAAAGAGAACTCTGGAGAATGGAGATTTAAAATTACCATGACCTGAAGGTATTTGTAATAAAGTTTAAAGATTTAGTAAACTGGGACATTACAAATCCAAAAAAAATTCTAGATTTTTCATCTTCCCTTTTTCAAAGACTGACAGAATATACATATACAGGTTGACATTTTGATTTATCCAAAACAATCTTCATTTTGCTCAGTTTGCAAGTCCTATCGACTAAAATGTAGTATCATTCACAACAAAATCTTTTCAATAAGTGAAACAATAAGCAAAGAAAACCAAAACTAAGCTCAGAAGCTAAGTGGTTTAGAAAGCCTTGGTAACATCTATGTGTGCATTAGTGTGTCTATAATTTTTTTATACATATATATATATATAGACACACACACACATATATATACACACACGTGCGCACATGCGCACAGGCACACACACATTTGTAACCTGCAGTGGAGATCAATCTATTTTCTAATAAGGAACAAAACACATTATTTAAAAATGTGCCTAATTTAACAAAACAGAGAAGAAACTGCTGCTATCAAAATATACAATTTGGATTGCAGACTAGAAGGCTAACAACATTAAAAAAATAGTTTTAAGCAAAACCCCTTTGCTTCTGAATAACAACAGGTATCAACCTGCCATAGCATGAAGCATCCAAACCAGATTTTATAAAAAGTTTAAACTGTGACCCTTCTTCATTCGTAAAGTTCTTGACATATTACATAGTGCGAGCTCTGGTCTCCGAACTGGAGCCTCTTTCATTGTTCTTAATCCATACTCCATGAAATAAATGGCAGCTGAAGGATTCAGAACCTCAAGTGAGATTTATGCTTTACCATATACCTTAAAAGATAAAAAGAACAGAAAACAAAAATTACTATTTTTGGTATTTATAGAATTTTTTCTCTCAGGAATAACACAGACTTCGTTAAAACTGAATTCTTAGAGCACTAGCGAGTTGCTAAAGAGATGCGATGTCTTATAAGCCATAAAGCTTTATTATGCACAGTATTTGTCCCACTGCAAGACAGTCAGCTAAAATGTTTGCTTTGAAGACAATTCACATCATCCGGGGCATCAAAAGGATTCTAGCATTTGAAAACTGTTGCTAAAAATAACTCCAGCTCATTCTGGGAATTCAGATATATAGTTTAGCTGAGACTTAAATAAAAAAGCATAGAAAGTTTGATGTTCAGAATCATTTAGACAATTCCCACTGGACTTTTCTTTTTGAAGTCCACTCAATCATTCAAGCAGTTTGCTGTGCAATCAACATGAAAAGATTAAACATTCATTAAATGCATGGACTTCTCTCTTCCCTCAATATTTCAGCTGCTTCATGACCAAGTTTCTCCTCTAAATCATGAAAAAGATATTACAATTAACTTTTCTTTCAGAGAGGGTTATGAGCCATGGCAAAGCAAAGTCAGAAGCAGCACTGCTCTTCACAGAGCTCTGCTGGTGCTCCTGCATCCCTCGCTTCTCATGAAAGGCAGCAATAAGTACTTGGAAGGCTCCAAAGATTCAGAGGAAAGAAAGACTGCACCAAAACTCATTATATGCCACATCTTCTCTGACCTTCCTCTTCTATCTGGTGCTGTGGACTCAGAGGCATCAGAGTAAGATTATACTTTATAGCTCTTTTATCCTAAAGTAGTTTCTCACCTTTGCTAGACTGTCATCTAGTGAGGTACAGACAGAAAAAAGAGTAGAGCTCTTAAAGCTCAGAACTGTAGTCCAAGAGAAGGGCTAGGGGAACAGCGGAAGAATGCACCATGTAAGTTGTTCTTCACTCTTTTCCTTCTGCCTAAAGAGAGGTAGGGGAATCACTGTACTACTCGGTTATCAGTAACTGCCCTTCCTTTACATCCACTCACATTATAGTTTGGAGATGACTATTACTTTGTTTATACTGAAAATATACCTGTATATGTTTAACTGCATGGTCAGGGAAAGTCTAAACAAATATTTTCAATATAAAACATTGTTCAGCTGTCTAAGTTGTATACAATTGCCTTGTTTCCGTAACTTTAAGTTCCCACTGAACATCATAAAAGCATGAGCAGAAAGGATTTTTAACAGGAAATGTACCTGTCCAAAGTTTCCCAGAAGCGTAGAAATACTGGCCTGTCCAAGTGTCTTTTATGGTAGCTTAGTTCTAACACTGTTACATCCCATTTCTGTACATTTGGATCCAGGCGTACTTCATCATATTTGAGATGAAAAGCTTTAACTACAGGAAACAGAAAGATGTTTAGTGCACAAACAAGATGACTTCACAGTATTTAATTATTAGCCAAAGAGCATCTCCCCTTTTTTCAGAATAAAGTCTGAGAATAAAATTAAGCCCATCTCTCAAGAAAGTCAGCCAGTCAATAAAGGGCACTGAACGCAATACAGTGGCTGGTGACCACGCCCCAGTGCTCATACTACTATAGCTCTAAGTGAAAGGGTGGCCCCTATTGCAGACATTCCAAGGGAACTGCAGAAACTCGTTGTAAACTCATGAGAGTTTCCTTTGGAAAACAAAGATATTCTTTCTGAAGATTTTTGAGTTGTCCAAAACCTGAAAACGGAAACAAAACAAAACGCCAAAAAAAGAAAACAATTCATTTTACTGGGACTGAGAAGGAAGTCTAGATAGCAGATAAACCCCAAATGCTACACAAAATATTCTGAGAAATAGTACTGCCAATTTCTTCTGATCTATTACTCAGCTAATAATGGTAAATTATTGGCTATTACTTTCCTTTTGGGAAGCGTTGCCTCATGTGAATTATGCAAACCCCAAGCATTAGCAAAATGACTATTAAATCTTTCTTGTGATTCTTCTTGCTTCCTTGGCCAGATCATAATTTTGACACAATCCAGTGTAAAGTACTTAACTCTTGTACAATTCCTATCTGGTAATCAATTTGATGCATTATATATTCTTGGATAAGTCACGATGAACTGGAGCAAAATATAACACTGAAAAAAAAGTACATTTGGGGGAACTAACTCTTGTCTGTTAGCTGCTAAAACAATATTTGGTACTATAATCAGGAATTGTAATCTATAAAATACTGGGGAACAGACTCCCTGATCCCTGCTAGTGAACACAGTATGCTAAATTTAGTAGGAACCCATTAGAATTAGAACAGAATCCCAAGGTTCAGCAAAAAGTGCTCCAAAAGATGTCTACCTTAATATCTCCCAGTAAGGAATAAAGCAGAATAAAAAAATATTTTTTTTTTTAAAAAAAAAAGCAAAACAAAAAAAACGTTTGTTCAGTGTGCATGAAGTCAGCAGTTTTACTGTTTCCCTATAATACTACTGGACAAGCAGTGTGAAACAAAACCATGAATGCATATATATTATCTGCCAGATAACATTGCCTGTTTTAAAATAAGCCTAGAGAAAGCAAATAGAGACATATCAGAGTTATGCATTTACAAAAAAACAACCGACACAACCTTTGTGTTAAGGTTAAATGATATTAAGCTGAGAACAACCCATTTCTGAACCTGAAAAAAATCAGAATTAAAGCAATCTGATACACTCTAGCATTTTAAAGACTTTTTAAATGATATTCCAAATTAAATATTTGTTCATTAACTTGACATCGCTCAAAAATTTCATCTGGAATGCTTACTTGCAGACACAAAGATAAGAAGCTTGCTTGCTACATGAACATTAAAGACTCAGAACAGGCGGAAAGAAAACCAAGAACAATTCTAAAGACTCACCTAAGAAAATGCTGTGTGACATAGCAATTGAACAAATAAAACCAGTTTGACAGACTCAGCTCCAATTCTTTACGGTAAGCTACCTTCCTGTTTTCCAAAATGACAGTAATATGCTTTAAATCTTTGTTAATCACCATGGACCCTGTGACTTACACAAGGAACTGCAAGCTGTAGATGAAACAATGGATTGTTGCAGATCCCAGAAAGTGCCTTTACAAAGGCTATCGAAGACAATAAATATAGGCAAAGTGATAGCTAGACTGGCATTGCCCATGCACTCCCAATTTACATGGCTTTTATTTTGAGGAGTGAATAAAGCCATTAGGAAAAGCACTAGAGATACTCCTATCAGGAAAACATTTTCCAAGTAGCTAGCTTTAAAACAACTGAATGCCTTTCTAAAACATAAAGGGTGCATTTCAACATATCTTTATGAATCAATTAAGAAAAGGTACCTTTCTTTCACTTCAAAAATCTAAGGATTTGTACATCTCCAGTCTGAACACCTAAGGCTAGGTTTTTGATTTATTTTTTTGGCAGAGCAAAATATATCATTACAATTCCTATCCTGTTTCCCCCTACGCATTTTCTTTATTTCTTCTTTCATTAGTCTCTTCTGTTAAACCCTCCTGTGTTGCTTTTTATTTCGAATTTAAGGCTCTTTCACTTACTATCTGTTCAATCCTTCATTCAACTCCTTCTGTTTTCTGGTTCACAGATGCATCCTTAGCCTTCTGACTGTTCCTCGCTCTGCATCCCAAACTAGCATTCTTTTGGGGTCCTACTTCTATACCAAATATGCACACAATGCAAAACCTGATCTCCTCAGTATACTAAATGGAAAATGACAGACTGAATTTTATTTATTTATTTATTTTTAAATCTGTAGCTCAGAAAACACTGGATGCTATAAAAAGGCCTATTTTCTAAGGCAGCTTCACAATGAAGCAATAGCAACAGTGGACAGAAGCTTGCAGTTTCTTTAGATATTATTGCATACTTTGCATTTAGAATAGTGAACAGTGCAAGAGAAGTGCTCTGTGTACACCAAAACATGCTGGCACAATTCTGCTAACAAAAAAAAGTGTTCCAATCTACACAGTGGAAACATATAACGTGTACATTAGAAGTATTTGTATCTTATTACCATCATTATTACCAAGTTTTTGTCAAACACCAGACCATGCTTGCAAAACTACTTGGTGAAATACTGGGTGATTAATCCTCTCTTCAAACAAGTCATGAAATCTGAAGACAGCCTGTAAACCTGTTGTTTATAAAGTGTTATATAAATAGCCTTTTCGCCTGTTTTACAGGCTTGGAAAGTAAATTTCCTTTCTGGTACAGCGGCTATTTCTGAACCTCTGGTAAAGACAACAGCTCTGAGAAGATTTCCACTGAGCTTCACAGGACAGAACAGAAGAGTCGCAGAGGACACATTAATCTTTGCCATCTGTGTGAATACCCAAGACCCTGTTCTTTCAACCAACCTAGTCCAACAGTACTTGACCGTGAGCATAAGCACCACAAAATTAAAAGCAGAATAACAAACCCTAAAATGCTTAAACAACAAAAACCTTACTTTTTGCAAAGATATCAACAGGTGATCCATCAGGCAAGAGCCAAGGCCAGCCTTTGAACTGCCAAGCTGGACCCTGTACGAATACTGCCACCACACGATCCCTGTGAACATAAAAAGGATGGACATGCTGATGGCCTTGAACATCTAGAATACATTGTCTGTTCAAGAAAATATGTATCTTAACAGTGTGTTTTTTGTAACAGTAATATATCGCATTTAACAACTGCACCTTCAGTACAACTACATTTTCTCCATTACAAAGCAAGGAATAAAACGTTATGTGAATTACCTAGACTTTTAGTTCTGCCCTTTGCAGATTTATTTATTGGAAATAGCGAAATAGTGTTTATTTCTGGACATTGTTTTGCTTTTTATAAGTGTTCAAACAGTTTAAACATAATCCCCTACAAATTAGACTGTAACTTGAGATGCAGCAGTTTAAAAGCCTTTATTCTGCACACTGTTAGCTTTTATTCTAAAAATTTATTGCAAGAGACAGCTGCTAAATTTCTGCCTCCAGTTGCAAAGTGCGTCATTTATTGTGAGGGTATGTAACTATTACCTGTGGTTTAAGACAATACATTTGTGATTAAGATGATGAAGCTTTTATATTAATAAAATTTTCAGAAAAACCTTTGAGAATACATGTCCTCCCACATACAGTCTGCCGCCTTCTTGAACGTTTACATCATCCAAGCATGGTTCCTACCTACTAGAACAAATAATTGCATCCCTAACCTAACACCCAAATTTAATTCTAGTCTACCAAACCTCCAATGGAAAAGAATGATCAAGGGATATCTTTGTGATCTTTTTTAAGAGAGAAACAGAAACTTTAAGGTTTGCCACTTAAAACTGTGTGGCAAGGTTTGTAATGGGTAACAGAAAAAACAGCAACAACAAAACTTTAAAAGCAACAACCTCAAGAATTTCCATGTTTTGATTTCCAGATGCTAATATCTGATGCTCTGTTGGATTAAAAATGAGCTAAATAAAAACACATCATTTTATCTCTTTGGTCAGAAGCACTTTAACTACCAATTTGGATATTAAGGTTTGATCATCGTAAGTGCTATTTGGTATTAGAATTTCAAAACCACTGACTTGTGATTTATTCAAGATTTAAATATAGAACACTTAATTTAGGAATAGGACCTTTCCAAAAATACTTCCCTCCACTAAAATCTACTTTGGAAGCTACAAAACCATCAAAAATGTCATGCATTTAAAATCATCACACCTCTGACGAAGAACTGAAAATGTTGCCTAATTCATTACCTCACAAATAATAAACGTATTTCTCCAGAATTTTCCTATTCAAAGAGAAATATACTTTCATAGTATCAAAGAATGGGCTTAGAGACAAAATCTTTTTACGAAAAAGCTGCAAAAAGCTCTCTCTCACTCCCTTCCACCAACTGGGGCTCTCCCTTCAGAAGAGAGCTTCTATCATTGAATCCAGTTCATTGAATCTGATTCACTAGTGAAACCGCATTTCTGTTTTTACTGTTGGCTTTTTTTTTTTCCTCTTTAAACTATTATAAGAAAGTTAGAATAGCAGATGTTGAAGAGGTTGGCAAATGCATCTTCCCAATAGACTCTAATTCAGAAAGAAGATAATAAAGGAGGATTCTTCTCTTGGACCATGCTTCAGCAACTCACATGCTACAGTACCACAAACTGGAAAACTCATGAATATTCTTACTTGAATTCCTGGAGCATTTCAGACCAACTAAAAACAGCTGTGCTGCTCATATTGTTAAAACAAAATGTTATTTTTAAGAAAGATCTATCAAGAAATTTAGCTTTATATCATTTTAACCTGGAGACAACACTCCTATAGAGTCAATCAAACCCATTCTTATAGCCTTGTCTTCACTTCTTATGCAATTTAATATTATTTTATTGGTCCCCTCCACGTTCTGCATTCTCCTGATAAAGAACTTTTGTAATGAGGAAATCTATTTTACCAGTCTTGTGGCATAAGCTTTAGAGGTTGGTCTACTACTCGGTAAGGTACAGTAACGCTGACTGTAGTTCCACCAGGCTGCATCTGGTCCTTCCTTCTCTGTATTAGAGTTTCATTTTCTCGCTGACAGCCTTGCTTCTTCTTTTCATCTGATGGTACAAACCTTGGAGAATAAAGAAACATTCAGTAGGCAAAAGTAATTTGATCAAATCAACAGGAAAAATACCAACTTTATCGGAACGTTGCATTATTGGCTGAAGCCACCTCATTCTTACTATGCCAAGCCTCCCTGACTACTCATTCAGTATAGCAAGAAGACCAAGTTTCATAAGTCTTTGTGATAAAACCAGTTGTACTAAAAAGGCCCTCTGCCCCTCAAATCTACAGCCAGAGCTGTTCTTACATGTTTGTGGCATGTCTTGCCTGCCTTACCCAACACATTTGCAGATGAGAAGCCAGATCATAGCCTGCTGAACAGCAATAACAAATTATTTTTAATGATCAAGAATAAATAACACGTGAAGACATGGGGAAGCTTAGGCATTAAGAAATCATTGCTTCCTGGAGTAAATTTTATAGCTTTTGTCCTTGGGGAAATCAAACCTACCCATCAAAATTATTTTTTCCTTGTGAAAGCTGGGATTTTTGGTCAAATGGATCAGATTTTATTCTATTTTTTTATTGAGTGATTTTACAAGATCAGATGATTCATCTGGTTACTGCAGTGTATGTACTACAATTACAGATTTTTTAAAAAAGCTTCTCTGATAGATAAATTATGCTTACAAAATAAGGACGGCATGATCCTTATGTCTCACAATCTCAGTAAGACAAAAAGAAATGGTTAAGAAATGACCTGCCAAATCAATTTCAGAATTTTTATTTTTCAGCCCCATCTTTATTAAGAAAAAAAAAAAAAAAGCAATTCCTATTTCAAGAGCCTCTTCTATATGGCATTAATAAAATAAAATACAGACAGCAGTTCTTCAAATTAGCATCATAAATGTGAGAGTAGTGTAGGGTTTGTTACTAATGAAAAAGGAAAGATAAAATCATGCTTTTTTACAGATGTAAAACTACATCACAGAAAGGTATGTTGTGACCAGTATCACCTACCAGGCCAGCAAAAAAAAAACCTAAGGAGAGAGCAAGAGCTCAGAGCCATCTTCTCCTAACAGCCTATTGAGAACCACCCAGTCGCACTACTAATACTGTTTGCCTCTGACGTTTCATTTCCAAAGTTCTGACAAGAAGAAACAGTGTATTTCACTTAACTGCACGAGGTATCAGGAGTATTGGTGCTATATTTTAAAAACACAGTACTCCACACAACAGGGAAGATTTCTCTTCATTATAGAGCAGATGGCGCATTCTCAACGTTTACTGCATCTATGGATATGCTGCTGGAACCATTTCTAAAGGTATTCTCTTCAACCCATTTTTAGTTCAGTACTAAAAAACAATTGACTATGATTAAACAACAGGTGGACTGCACTTTAAATTACTGTGGAAACAGTAAAAAGGAAAGAAAAATGAACTAAGTTTGTTATTCACCCCTCCTGAAAATACTGGCTTTTGCTAACATTTCATACTCAACGAGAAAGTGGTATCAGGGCTTGGGGAGAAACATTACAGATTAAATATTGTGTTTTAGGCTTTTAAAAACACATTTTAATTGGAAACCCAGCCAGCTCTACCAAGTCAGAGGAACAAGGATATTAACGAGCAATATTGATTCTACAAAGAGGCCGGCAATTTCACCACTATGAATTATATCTGAAACACCCCAATATTGGCTGATGCAGGCATTCTCAGCGTTACTTTTAGCTTCATACAAGTATGTTTGTGTCTAAGAATTCGTTTCAATCATAGTTTATTGACAAGTTTCTCTCCAGTTCATGATCAGATAAAAACTGTTACCTAACTGAGGCAAACCAAAAGTTGCCATAATGCCTGTATCTTCTGGACTACAGTACCCTCCCATTTTACTTGATATAGAAGTCTGAATAGGACAGAACAGGACAGAGCAAATACCTTGTTATCTGAATGTTCTGAAGAAAAAAACAATACAATGAGAAGATTCAAAATGGAAGAGTAAAAAAGCTGCCTATCAAAGAAAGCATTGAAGGAGATGCTTACACATACATGGAGTAGAGGGATAAGTGACAGCTTACAGAACGTTTATTAAGTACATGTTGAATCCATGGCTACTTTGCTCCAAAATCCTTGAAATGCAAGTATGCATAATAAAAGCCATGTGCTCCCAAACTGAGAACCATTTATAATCATACAGCAATTTCTGTTATGAGAGGCTTACTCCATCACTAGACATACAAGTCAAGCTCAAGAAATCTGACTATTAAAGAAAACAGCAAAAATACCACCTTCTCTTGGGAGTAATTTGCCTACAATACTCTGCCTGGTAGCTTAACTACACGTTTGTACTTGACCCCTTTTTAATCATGCAATACACGAGAAATGTGTTCTGAAGCCTGACTGTGCAGTAGCTTACATTTTTGTTGCTTCTCCAGATTACTATTCCCTCGTCAAAAAAAAAGTGATCCCACACCTATTTAGAAACCATCTTTATATTTATACTCTTACTAGGAAATTAATAGTGCTCAATCCTGTTGCTGTTAGTTGCCAAAATCAGTATTTGCATGAAAATTGGTGCGCTTCCACAATTAAAGGCAGCAGGTCCCTTTCCTTAAGGGAAACAGGCAAGTGATTGAGCAAGATCAAATTATGGGAGGTAACTTTTAAGACACCATCTAGTGAACTGCCAGAACTGCTTGTGTCTAAGCTCTAAACTCATAGGAATTGCTCGCGTTAACTTTAAAACGCTTTCACTCAGGTCAGGTCAATGCTTTCCGCCTCCCAATTTGGGCCTTCTGAAAAATGCATGAACAGAGGATAAGGCAACTCCAGTGCTGGACAGTAACTGAGCTCATCACAACGCAGATCTGATTACGTTTAGAATTTGAGACTTCTTGTACAACCCTCTCACTATTTCTTATTTGATTACAGTGTCAAAAGCCTCATATACCTACCTCCACAAGAGAACAAGGCACTTCTGTAACCCATCATCCCTGAGTCTTTCAGACTGTTTGCTCCATATCAAAGTTAAATAAATCTCAGTGAGTTGCCTGGGCACACATAGCAGTTAGAGAAACCGTACTTTAACAGAAGTTTCATAAAGGGTTTGTTTGCTACATCATTTTTAGCTGTGCAAAACTGCTGATACTAACTATCAAGGGCTTTTTTTTGTTTGTTTATAACAGAGGGCCAATTATAAATTTCCAACCCATTCAGTTTAACTGTGCTTTTATTTATCTGGTAAGAAAGCAGAGTGTGACTACGGTTAAACATATCTTAAGTTAAAACATCAGCACGATAAAAGTCTATATTCATCACCTAAATGTTTACATCTTCCTGATACAAATTTCCTTACCACTCTTGTTCCACATAACCCAAACTCTCCTTCTTTATTACGGCACACCTCACAGAACAGTAAGGGAGCCAGCACTGCAGCCTGTGAGCAGTGTGCTCACACACATGCCAAAGCCTCCCTACCCAAACAGCCCTGTGTGCCTCATCCTCCCAGAGACGCCTCACCTGAATTCTGGGGATTCTCTTACGTTTCCTAGCAAACTCCTCTGCAATGCCCTTCAAACACTCCTCCTGCTCCAAAAATCCCCTCCTCCTTGTGCTGTACCATTGGTCTCTGACACAGCTAACAAGCAGGCTGATTACCTCTAAAAATACAAGAAACTCAAATCTATCTGCTTCTTCCTCATTAATTTTGGTGTTTCTTCACGTGGACAGAATCTTTTTTTTTTTTTTTATTCCAAAGCTTGTGGCAAATGAAATGCAGCTTCTGAATCGCTGTTCTGTCAAATTTAGCTGAAAGTGGGGAATGAATTACAGAAGGTGGTGACTCAAGGCAGAAACTACACAACTCTTTTTCCCTGCAAAATCATTCCATATCTATCATTCTACATCAAGGCCAGTTCCACACTCTGCATACCTGAACATTAAGAACAAACCCCGCAGCCATTCCTAAACAAAGTACTTCGGTAAATTTGAAATGCAAAAATTACAGGCCAGGTGGCATATCTTCTAGAAAAGTGCTAGAGCTGTCACAGCTGAATTAATATTTTGCTCTTCTAAGTTTTGCTATTGCATTTCGGATTCATCAACATCCCTTGCTTCTTCACTTTGTCTTCGATACCTGTTAATTATGTCAGTGTCTTCCTTTGTTCCCTTATTCTTTTTTCCCTTCCCAGGATCAAGTTCTTTGCACTCAAGCTCAGCCTTCTTTAGGAGCAAGTCTAGAGAAGCTACCTGTAATTGTGCCCCCATGGAGCTGGGAACAGTGCAGCTTTCCTAGCACGGATATACTTAGAGATGACATACAGGTGCCTTATTCCATTATATCTATTCCTGCACCACAGTCATGAACTGCACAGATTTAAAATCCAGGGCTTGTGCTTATGTAATTGTTTCTTAACCATAAAAACCCATATAAACAAGCAACTTGCTCTGTCAACACAATTAGATCAATCTAGTAACTGCTCGCACATTAAATCATAATGTTAAAAGCCAGCCTTCTCACCAATTAAATATTTCATAAGAGGCCTTAAGAGTCCAGCATGCCTACCAGATCTTTGGTGGCATGTGGCAGTAATCTAGAAGCCAGGAATAGCTAGAGATCTGAAGGCACCTTGTAGCTCACAGTGCTGTTTGAAAAAATTCTAGGGCAATTCCACTAAAAATTTAGCACCACAATATGGACAGACTATTTTTCAAAAACAAGTGTATAAAGTCTCATAAAGGATAGGAGAAGTGCTGAAGGTGGAAGAAAGAATAACTATCCACTTTTTGAACGGACTACTGGTGCAAACTATCTATAACAGTATATTTTTCTGTGAAAATGACTGTTTCAGAAAAATGGACTGATATTAACAGACAGGCAACTTTAAACACCGTGGTCTGTCAGACAAGTTTTTGTTTATTAAAAACACAATACTGATTTCTACCTTGCCATGATGGAAGCAAAGTATAATGTTGATTGCATTTAGCCATAACAAATTAAATTTTAGAATCTGATAGGTTCATTTATTTAAGCAAGAGCATTTGTAAACTGCCATATTCTAGCACACTGCAATGTAATAAATCAATTCTAGCAACTCAGTATTACTTCCCTAAAAGAATTTTCATCAATTCTTACCGATAATGCTTCATTATCATTTTTGCTGTATAGGAACTTTAAAAAAGAATACCTACTACTTCTGCACGGAGACATTTAATAATGATTGCTAAACAAAAATAACATCTCCCATCTTTCTGGTATCAATGCGTATGTAGCTTCTAAGACGTTACAGCCATGTTGGCAAAGAAAGACTGAACACACTGTCAGAGTCTGACCACTGTCTGACCACTCCTTGTCCTTGAGAGCAAGTGATCCCTCTGCATGCAGAGGTTGGCTGAGATACGAGACTGCGATTTTGCTTTTAAGAATGTATTCTGATTTCATCCTCTGCATACATTGTTTTATGTACATGTATCATGTCATCTTTTGTAACTGTTTCTAGAGCATATCAATTCTTATATATCGCCTTCTAACTTCACTACTGCTGTCAAGCACCTTCCTAACAACACAACTTTGATTCTCCGTTTCCTTTTTTCAACTTATCAGAATCTTTCAATTTTTCAAATTAATCCTAAGTATCACTGAAATCAGTGCAATGTTATTCTACCCATAAGAAGTCCCACTTTTCCACTTCTCTTTTTTAAAACTTGACTACCTTTTTTCCAATCTTTCTTGGTACTTTATTTATTTATACCCTAATAAAGGGTAGCAGTCCCTTTTGCGGATGGTCTTAACACTACCCTACCTTAGTTGAAGCACAACTTACTCTATAGACTCTTATTCACAAGCATACTGCTAAATCAAAAGCCCTATTATTACTGAATTTTTACCGAGTAACATTTACTCTCAAGTATATCTTGTCTGAAGTGCCAATTAGTGTGAGAGTCCAATACTTTCTGACCAGGGTCTTTTAGATGTTCCAAAAGGGAAGAATTTAATGTTAACATTGAATATACTTATTTGGGTATAGTTTTGACACTACATGGGATTTCGAGTGAGTAGGGTGATACAGCAATGAACTGAAGTCGACACACAAATATAATATACAAGTATAATACAGAGATAGATTGCAATACAGACAGATTCTCATTACCAGTCACTGTATATTCATCACCACCATGCTGTGTGTCCCCAGCCACTGGGAAGAAATATGCGTTGAAGAAAGCTCAAGCCTGTTCTCTTCAAAGCTCATTTTTTGGTTGTTCAGTTTTTAATACTCTGTGTTGGGCTAGGCAACATATAAACCTCTCTCCTGGTGGTATGGCTGGCTCTACAAGTAAACATCTTCTATTGATTGCCTCAAGGAAGACCATTTAGACAACCAGTTGATCTGCTCAGCTACTATAGCCATTTATCTAAAAGGCCAACCTCTGCATCTCTTTTCCCTTACCATAGCTGTGGTCATCTCCTGCATTCTCTGAGCTGCACAATCCCTTTCTGTACTTAAAGGGGCTTATAAAAAAGAAGGCAAGTGGCTTTTTACACAGGCAGATCGTGATAGGACAAAGAGGAGGTTTTGAACTCCAAAAGGGGAGATTTAGATTAGATGTTATGCAGAAATTCTTTACTCAGAGTGGTAAAGCACTGGACCAGGTTGCCCAGAGAAGCTGTGGATGCCCCTTGCTGGAGTTGTTCAAGGCCAGACTGGATGGCGCCCTGGGCAACGTGGTCTACTGGGTGGCATCCCTACACAGGGGTTGGAACTGGATGGTCTTTAAGGTCCCTTCTGAGCCAAGCAGTTGTGTGCTTGATTAGTGATCATCCTTGCTCAACTCCTCTGAGCCTTTTTCCACGGTAAGCATTTGTTATCACTTGCACATGTATGCATATACATTACATAAGAAGAAAGCCACTCCAATCATTGAGAAGGTCTTACAGTAAGATTCCTAATCTGCCCATTTGGCTCAATTGTGCAAACACTGATTTTTTTTTTTTTTGCCTTTTTTTTTTTAACCACTATTCATGAGGCATACATTTCTTTTATAATCTCGTCTGTAAAACTAGTTTGTCGTGAGACAAAAGAAACTCCCTCCTGATTGTTTATTAATTTGGTACTAATAAAACTCTCTATCTGACAACAATTTTTTATACGGTATTACAGGATGTTCTAGTATGTTCTAATCAGCTACTTACTTCAGATCTTGCAGAAGGTCCTTTGCATTAAGCATTGTTATTAAAGAGGTTGTGGCTGCCGGAATGATGATTATGGGAGTTCGAGATCCTGTAGAGAAAATCAAGTTATATTTCTTGCCTTCTTTTTTCCTTTTTCTTTTTAATTAAAGGAGCTGTACAGAAGACCAAAATTTTGCTTAACAGACCTTGATTATGGTAAATATTCAAGGGAAACTGTAGTAAATATCTAAATTGAAGGTCTTCATTCACCATAGAAAGCGTATCCCTATATCAGGAGTCTCTAAATATTGGTAATCACATATTTAGCAGAATACAATTCTGTTTGCTTGTGGTTCCAGCAAAAGAAAGTGTGGGCATCATTCACACAAAAATGAAAAGGACAGTGACTAAAAATGACTAACCTTTTTTCTGGTTTGGAGGTGGTCTTGCTTGAGAAACTGAGGAAAAAAAAAACATAATATACAACAGAATGAGTAATACATAATACAAATGCTAAGACTCAAAACATTTCAATGTTTATCTCACTTTTGAATGTTTTGAGACGCAGGAGTCACACTATAGTCGTTAGATCATTTTCAGAGAAGCAATACACAAAGTTGAAAAGGGGATTTATAATTTGGGTCTCAGTATTCGGCAGACAAACAGCTTTTGACTGTCTGAAAACAGATGCAAGTACAGTTGAGTCAATCTCCTCTACTTTTTCTGAACGTAGTCATCTTTCTCTATCCTCCCCAAAGGGAAAGGACAGTACAGCACTGAAAACACTGCCAGCAATCTTCAAGCAAGCTGCTTGTGGATCCCAAGCTCAGCTGTGCTGAACCAACAGGAAGACTGTTTCACAGCAAGACAATCTTTACAGATCCTCACCTTTTCAAAAGTAGGTGTTACAGTAAATGAGATCCATGGGATTAGCTGTCCTTCAGACATGCAGAACTTTATACAAGGTAAGTTTTGACAGCTTCAGACTTAATCGGGTTAGTTTCTGATTGCAATTATCCCCCTAGTTGGATTTTTCCCCACAATAAAGTGTTTCCTTTTTAGTCTTCCATGTCTCATGACCTCCTAGTTTTGGGAGGCATTTCAGTCCAAAGGTGGAACATAGGAAAAGCACCTGTTTCTTCGCTTTGGTGCTATTACCGAATAACCTGGCTTTCTCCAAATAAATATTTTATAGTTCAGTTTTAATAAATTAGAGTTTTCATGATTCCTAACTTAAAGAAAGGACTATTGTGCTTAATAATTACCATTATCCTAATTCACAAAATTAGAAAAGTCAGTAGTAAAAAGATTGATGCAGACTGTACCTTAAGTCTCAACTGCTACTATGCATGACAAATTTCATTAATTGACTTCCAATTTCATAGCACCAACTTGCTCATGTTTATTTATGACCAACTGTTTCAGAAACTGGCTAGAACATTATAAATATTCACACCACACAGTTGCCATTGTTGAAATATTGAGACTACATCCTTAATTATCTTTTCCTAACACTGTCAAATGCACAGATATAACTGGCAATACTACATTGAACTACTTGAATTTTACCTACCCCATGTTTTTACTTTATTTTTTAATTTAAGTATCTCCTTACTGTTAAAAAAAAGTTCCTGAAACATATGGACAGCATCAGCTGCCAAGAAAAAAAGCATCTGTAAGAAATGTGATAGCTGTACTGAGACAGGTTAGCAGAAAACTAGATAATCTAAATAGGCATCTCCCCCCCCAAAAAAAATTAATAAATATTTGTTCAAATCAGCATTATAGAATTGTTTCCATCAATCCAGCTAATCCTTCTATGTGCAATGATGCAACCTCCTGTACATTGCACATTTAAATACTGTCACCACTATGAACAGACACTCCCTCCCTCCTGAGGTTCAAACCCCCAAATGTCCTAGAACATGCAGAAGAAGAAATCCTTTTTTGGAATGTAGTATTATATATTTCTTCAGACTGTTTTTTCTCCTTTCAACAGTATGGAGGCAAGCTAGTGGAATAGAGAAGGGCAACATCAGTATAAAAAATACACTTCTGTCAGTTAATGCACATGAAACTACGAGTAGCAAGTAGGGACCTGTGACAATTCAGTCAGATTTCTGCTCTTGCTACTTCTACCCTTTTCATACTGCTGTCTGTCAGCTTCATTTGCATTGTTATGCTCAACAGGGCCAGTGAGATAAGTATGACAGGCAGCATGACCTTTCTGATACCTAAATAACCAAACAGAAGAACCTGCGCAAAGCAGCATTTAGGTATGCTGTGAGAATATTCAATATTAGAATAGATTTGGGGGGTGAATCCTTTTACAACATTAAAGCATTAAATCCTACAAATAAAGCTCAAGGAATTAGCAAGGCACGTATTCAAAGCTCTTAGTAATCTAAACAAGAACACTGTATACTCCAGCAGAACTTCTAGAAAAAAGCACACTCATTTAGAAAGGCAGCTTTGATTTTAAAAATAAATAAATAAATAAAAAACTACTGACAAACACCAAAGTGATCCCTTCTTAACACTTCATAACAATAACTATTTTCTCATTCTTAAATCATACCTTTCACCTGAAACTTTCTTCCAACAAACCAAAAATTCTCATAACATGTAAATGAAGTACAGCCATGCACATCGCTGTTTGGAAGCACCGATTTTGTTTGCATTTTTACACTATTCCTCTATCTTTTTTTGATGGGTTTCTCATTAAAACAAAACAAACAAAAAAAAACACCTACATCTTTCTAACTTTGAACTTCAATTGGAAATTCAGTCTGATGTACAGAACTGACTTGGTAGCTGAAGTCTATTAGATTGGGAATTTAAAAATCCAGCTGAAGATTCTGACTTCATTACACATATCTTACGTGCTAAGAAGTGTGAGAAATAATGATAACACACAGAGAAATACTTGTCTTTCTGATATATTGAAGAAGTATAACAACTCTTTCTGAGACTGGCTTTTGTATTTAGGTTGTTTCCCCTTAATATATTAACCAACTCTCACTACATATTTGAAAAGGCTTTCTGAACTACTAACCTTATAGCCAAGTTTTTCACTTGACACTTTTCAATTTCACTGTCACGTCCTTTCGACAGGATGACTGAGCAAACACGCTGAACAGAATGAACCCAAGCACCAGAACATTTCAATTCTCAGGCTACGTGTGGTGTAACTAACTAGAAGGTCACGTGTCATTTCCAACACACATGCCATTAAAAGCCACAAAAAGGATCCCCACTTCATTCTTCAGTAACCAAAGTTTTAAATACAACTTTTCCAAAGCTTATACTTGCTTGGAGCAGAAGCATGAAAAGATGTCACCCTACCTGGTCGTGGTACCGGCTGTGCTGCTGGCGTTTGTGTTTTTCGAGCAGAAGCACCTTCCTTTGAAAAGACAGAAAAGGTAACATTAATAGCTGGCCTTCTTGTCAGGTACATATATTTTTAAATGAACACAGAGCTACAGAGGACCTACTGAAAATGAGGGCAGAGTGTTTCTATTAAAAAGGAGAAAAAAAATATTGAACATACTCAAAACTCTTTACAGATCCTGTTTTAGATGCGGGGGAGCAGAGAACCTGATAAGCTTTTACCTCTTTTTGTTTGTTTCTTTGTTTACCTTTTAACCATCAGATGCCCATCAGAAGCATTTTTCTATATTCAAAGAAAGTTTTCTTACTTATAGTACTGCTTCATTTTAAACCTGATCACTTGTAACTAAGAGTTAATATGGAAATTGGCTACAGAAATTTCAAAACATGATCTGCTTATGCTCTAGGATGGAAAGCCAGGACCAAGGAATTGCAATGTATTCCTGCCTTGAAGAGTTTTAGTGAACAGAAATAGCACTCTCATGATAATTAGTTCTGCTCATGCCTTATCCAATTACCTTAATGTAACAAACAAAAGACCTGTACTACTATTTATTCTTGTTAACTCTGCAGAGTCAACACACCATGTAAGAGAAAAGTGAGGTCACACGTCTACTTTAAAGCAACATAAAATTTCTGCAAGAACAAATTCTGCTCTTCGTGATTTCTGTGAAGCCCCACTGAACAATACATGTATTACCAACGGCATAAAAAAACAACCAAACAAAAGAAAAAGAAAATAACCAGAACCCAGCCACTTCAATTTGCAAGGCTAACAGAAAACCTTTAACACAAAACCAAGCATGCATTTTATCTGAACATTAAGCACTATGTGAGTGTATCCTCCATCTGAGACACACTCGGTAAGGTCGGAAATCTTAGCCTAGGAAAAACTTTTTCGAAAGACTCCGGTATGGTGCTATCACATCTTTATGTCCATACATAAATAACAGTATGTTCTGGAATTCAAAATTAAAAAACCTAAAAAGCAAGAGACCGCATGCAAGGAGCCTCAAGTTCCATGATTTAATTAACACAAAGAACCTGCTTTCAAGTTTCCACCATGAAAGTGAGAACACAGCTTTTTACATCCTGCAAGCTCCCATTAATCTTTAGCATTAGGATTTAACCTTTGATTGAAAGAAATGGATTAATCCTGAATTTTTCTGTACTCTTTTCTGATTGTTAAAATAGCAACATCTATGTAGGGCATTTGAGTCAGTAACTGTTATTTTAAGACTTGTTTTAATATCTAAGAAAAGGTACTTTTGCCTCTGTCCTTTCACTGCAATTCCTGAGAAAATGATGAAAATCCGAATAGCACACTCTGAAGGAAGAGCAGCAGCAAAGGCTGCCTATCTTTGAGAGAAGCCTTGCAACTGAGAAACCACCACTATTTAAAACTGCATCGCCTTTCTTTTAGCCAAGAAAGTAGAAATAAAACTTTGCATCTGTTTCCATAGAAAACTAAAATTTTCTATGTGAAAAGGCTGCTCCTGTGGTGCTCTAATGGCACATTTTGAAGAAACACCAAGAACTCTCCCATGGCATGTCTTTGAAGTCCCAGAACCTTAATGAAACAGAAAGCAAGCCTGCAAGCTACAGAAACATCACTTCCAGCATCACTTAGCGATGCTAAGTTGCAGATTTCAAACTCAATTTAGTTTCTTTGGATGCTTAACTACTATTATCTGCAATCCCATGCATCCATTCACCTTTCCTCCCCTGCTGAATCAATACTGCAGCCTTTCTGCCTTCCCTTCCACTTACTGAGTGCTTCCAATACCTCGAACAGACCTACAGGTCCTATGGCAGCTGCCATGGGAGTAGGACAAAGGAGCTGCTTCAAATATGCTGGAGGTTTTCTGCAGCCTTGGAAAAAATTGCAGTCACAAAGCCTTGCTCTAGTTTCCACAGGACTTGTGCTTGTGATTTTTCTCTTCACCAAAATCTCCATAAAGCACCAGAATATACAGTCACAAGTGACATACATAGCCTGCAAATGACTTTTTTCCCCATACTTTTGTCTGAACTCTCTGAAGTGATGAATGGGAAACCCTGTGCAGAGGCCTGAAAGGAAAAGGCAAGGCTTTAAGAACATTTCAGCTGCAAAATAAATAAATAATATTGCAAGCATAACATCAAAGTATGTGATTAATGGTAGGAAATAAATTCATTTAGATGAGTAGACACAAAAACACAGCTACCAATTCTACATCCATGACCTTTCCATTTGTAAGAACAATTTCTGCAAAATCAATAAAATGATGGAGGTCACGACTTTTAGTTTTGTAAATCACCGCCTTAGACTGTGATAATTTCACGGATGAATCTCAGCTCACAGCCCCAGATATGCTGGCTTCTCACCAGACACTGATCAGTTGTCACCCACTGAAGGTACACACCCTTCCTCTGCCACTGATTCATCACCTCTCGTCACCTTAAGATCACGAGTGACCTAATCACCACCTTCTATTAATTAAAATTACCACCCTCTATCATTTAAAGAAAATGTAGTTGCAGTGGCCAGTACTTTAACCACAGATTTTTATTTTTATTTTAATTTATTTTTTTAAGGAAAGCATGCTATTAAGACGGAGAAAAAATGAAAGTACAAAGCAGTTATGGTTGACAAGATATGTGACGGGAAAAAAGATGCTTTCTAGAAGAAAATCGTCAGAAAGATAATTTCAGCAACATTTCACACCGTCCTGAAAACAAAAGGTACCGAGCTTAGATACAAACTGAATGCTTTTCAAGAGCATCCCCGTAGAGGTGTAGGTTTTTCCTATGACAAAGCACTAATTTATGGCATGAGTTCTGTTTACAAAGCACGTATAACCACAGAATTATATATGATGGCTTCTCTCAGAGAGAAAAAAAGATCAAGCTGACAGAGTAAATATTATAGTGGGTTCCTTTAACCACACACAGCAAGCGTGGCTGTTAATTTATGCCGTTAGAGTAGGCAAATGAGAAGTTGCCTCAGAAAAGCTAAGTCCTTGTAAATACAGTAGCTTATTTCTCAGTGAGTGCACAGTAAGATATCTTACATTAAAAACTTCACATTAGAAATTTGAAAGTTACCCTTAAGTAACTAGACACACTGCCAATTCCAACTCCAATTAGGGGGGCTTTTGTTTGTGCAGCTGTACCCTGAGCATCAGTAGCAGCAGAAATCACTGTTTAGCTATTTAAAGAACATTCATTTCCTCAAAGTTTCTGAGCACTTAACAGTTTTGCTCAAAGACGACATACCTAATTCTTATGCATAAGCCACTCTAGACTGTTAAGGAGTATACTGTGAATATTCATAAGTTGAAACCAATTTAGTAACAAACCCATGTAACTTGAAAAATACAAATCTTCTTTAAGACAACTACACAACATGGTATTTTAATCAGAAACATGTTACTTGGTTTAGTTTTGCTACCTTACAATAGAAGGTTACATATATTTACTTGTGATTTATATTAAAGATGAGTATTTAGGCATTCATGAGCAACCTGAAACCTTAATATTATCTTGGATTTCATCACATCAGCTATAGATACGACGCTGCATGCGCTTTCCAGTAGAATTTGTCCATATTAATGGTTCCTACCATGTTAGACCCCTAAAAGCCATACTTCATTCTCTTGAGGCACAAAAAGCTCTTAAAAGTTTATAAAACTGTTGCTTCACAAGCCACAAATGCTGGAAGGGAATAACTCAAGAACTGCAACTATTTCACTGCACATTCACTATTTCAACTGTTCCTACATAGAGATCCACACAATCTAATATTTTGACCTTTAAAAAAAGGTTAGGAGTAAAGGATAGAATCGACAATTTGATGCCATCTTGTGGCTTTTTTAATTTAGCAAATTTAATTTGTATTTCATTCTTGTTTACAATTTCTAGTAGTACAAGACCTTCGCACCAAAATCTAGAAGTTACTAGGTAACTTGCATGCTCCTACACAGAAATAGGAAAAGAAGTAACAGTTGATTCTGCCAAAATATTAGCAACTACTTGTACTTAGAACATTAAGTGGCTTTCAGCTTCAGCATCCATGAAGGAAGACAATTCATCCAAGCTCATTTCTATTCAAAAAGGTGAACATAGTAAAGCTGCAACACTCAGATCTCAAATGAGAAAGAAAAAAAAATACATTTGGATAGTACACTCGTAAAAAATTTTTAAAGAACAGACTTCAAATTTACCTACTTGATTTAGAGAAGACAGTACAAAAACATTTTAATTACCAGCAACTCTACTATCATTGTGTGAGTGATTTAAAGTATTAAGCCTTTGAAAGTTGTACTAAAGACAGGCTAAAGAACCAAGACAGTCTAAACCAACTGCAGAGGTTGAGAAGAATATTGCAGTTCTAGAAATTAATTCTTGAACACATCATTAATGTACGACAAAGGCAAAACAATCAGATGACTTCAAGAACATCTGCTCTGGATGCCCTACTTTAAGCTTGATACAAACATTTATCTATTTCATATACATAGCTTAGATTCCGAAAATGTAGGGCTTTGTTCTAAAAATGTTAAGCCCTTAAAAGCCTCCAAAATGAAATCTTCCAAAGAACCAAGCAAAACAATCCAACTGAGTTGCTCTGCCTCTGCAATCTTCATAAGAATTTTCAGGCTTCTATTTGTATCAAGAAAATCTCAGTGAAATTTAAAGAGCATTTCACATAATTGTTTTATTTACACAGGAAGCTGGTATAGCTCATTTGCATCCTTCTATGCACACAAATATGCATACACAGTCCCCCAAGACAGATATTTAAATAATAAATTGCAAGCTTTTTGCTGCCTTTCTAAATTTAAATTACACTGTAAAATAAAATAGAATTTGATAACAGAACCTTAACTGTTGTACAAATACTGCTAATATTAGTCATGTTATCCTGTGTTGATTGCAGTAATAATAAAAAGGTCATTTCTACTATTTACATTGTTTCAACTTCCTTATAATCAAAAAAATACAAGGGGAATTGAAGCAGAAGTAAAGCTA